ATGTTTGAATTTCCTTAATGGAATGGAAGGCACGCAGAATGGCTTTCTCCATCCTGATCATTTTGCATGTTGTTCTCGGCCAAGGTAAATGTGTTTTTTGATTTCTTTTGTCTCTTTGTCGTTTAATAGTACCTGGCCCTTCGGCACGGCATCCGAATGCAATATCTTGATCCTTAATCGCTTGATTCACAGTCATGCCTTGCAGCAGTCTGGCGTCTACTACAAACAGTGCTACGTCATCAACGAACCTTAGGTGGCTGAGCTGCTCACCACTGATGTCAATCGCCCTTCCAATTTCTCTTACGTAACATCATTTCCAAACAAACAGCTTAGAACTTGGGGAAGACGATGCCCCTTTGTTTTACGCCCTTCTCTCTGTCGAACAGCGTGATGTTTGTCAACCAGACAAAGCTCGTTTCGTTTAGTGGATTAATGTAATTGGTGTGGATGCCCTGTTTGGCCGTGCGGTTCACACTGCGTTACGTTCGATACTGTCGATGAAGGCGATGCACAGAGGTAACGGAAATCCCATCGCGTAATCGAGGGTCCTAATTAAAATAAAGATGTTTCCGTTGTGTTGTAGGTCCTTCAAAATTCCGCCACTTCTCTTGACTGCTCTTCGTCCAGACTTGTTGGCAGTCAGATGGAAATGATCTTAGTGAATATCCGTAGACTTGTGAAAGCAGGTAAATTGAGCGATTGGTCTTCAGACTTTTCTTCTCGCCCTTCGTGACCAACACGACTGTCTTTATCTCCTTCCAGCATGATGATAATTTTTCCGTTACCATGTAGCAGCAGAATCTCTGCACTAGAGCCCTACAGAGCGGCTGACCACATGTCAGACCGACTATCCACTGTAGTTCTTCCTCAGTTTATTCCTGCATGCCGAACTTCGCTTATGAGAATCGGTAGTACAATTCCCTCTGGCTGTGGGAGTGATGACGGAGGAGAGCGTTCCGTGTCTTTGACACAAGGAGCTGGGTATAAGCGTTTCTGCAGGTAGTCTGTCTATCAGTTTTCAGAAGTTAATAGACCATGTCCGTTCTTCGGCGTCGTGATGATCGACTGATAAAGTGCTAAGTTTGCCCTAAATCAGTCTCTTGTCAGTTCTCCGGATTTACACGACATATGGTACCATCCTCTTGCTTCTAGCAGCCTAGGAGACCGCGTAAGGAGGCAACGGTTCCAGGGTATTTTAGCACCTACAACGCATGGGCGCAATACAGCACCATTTGTTGGGTCGAACTCTCCCCTATATTGTCAGTTGTTTCTGTGGGCTTCGACTCTTTTCTCAAATTTTCGAAATCTGAAGGTTTCCAAATCCTCCTTTAGCTTCCGCAGAATGAGCTTGCGGCAAAGACAGTACTCCACCGTGCCGGTCTTCATTCGCTTGTCTGGCAAACATTATGTTTCATCTATTATCTTTGCTTTCGCTCTCTTTGATACTCTCATTTCGGTTCACATCCCATGGCGCCTCGGTTCCTAGGCAAACTTTTTACAGTGGTCACTGATGCCTTTCAGGCCCCTGTCTTCAGTGGAAATGCGCATTAAGGTTCACCGCATCGTCCACACCATCGGTCATGTCCAAACGTGTCCTTCAAGACTCTCGTTAATGAGAGTTCCATCGTTCAATAATGCCGTTATTATTGAGGTATTTAGTGTCGTTTTTTCCAATCACGCCCTTCCATTTTTCAGCGTCTACTCCGATATACACATTAGAACCTCCCTTGAGTATGAGGAACTCTGTATTCTTCACCTCGGACAGAGCACACTGCTCTTCCTCAAGGAGGGTATCATATTCTGCCTCCATATTGGTCGCATGTACCTGCACCAAGGTCAACGCTTTAGCCTGTGGGAGGAATGCTGCCCTTCCGCTGGTAGTCTTCTATTCTTTGATTCTATTAGCCAGGTTAGGTTCAACCGGAATATCAACACCGGCCTCAGCACGACTTGTGATATCGACAGCTGAGAAGAATACCTTACAGCGGCAGAGGTTCCGGATTGCAGAACGTTGGTATTTCGTTGCGGACAGTCCAACTATGCCGAGTTGGTTTCTTGCGGCTTCATCAAGTAACTCCCAATCTTTCCTTCTGACGGAGGATATGTACCCACCGTCAGTGTCATTCTCGGCAGGTCTTATCTGA